GATCAGCCCTGTGCTAACATCCGCCAATCCTCCTCTTTTTTTGCCGAGGAAGATAGCCCTGGGCTAACATCCGTGCCCATCCTCGTCCACTTTATATGGGATGCCGCCACAGCATGGCCTGCCAAAGCAGTGCGTCGGTGCGCGCCCGGGATCCGAACCAGCAAACCCCGGGCTGCCGCAGCGGAGCGCGCGCACCCAACCGCTTGCGCCACCGGGCCGGCCCCAAGAAGAAATATATTTTTAAGAGGCCAATCATATGAGTTTTTTGGTGAATAAATTTAAATCTGTATATGACTATTTTTATCACAAGCATATAAATTTTAAAAAAAATCAATTTTCTGATATTCCTAGAAGCACTTTCCTTACTAATTATAACAAAAATTGTTTTTTATAATCTCATTTTATTTCCTGCAATTCTATCCTTCTCACTTGACCTTCCACTTAGGTGTCAACCAATGACCCTCTTAAGTGAATTTTTAAAATAGCTACCTTTTCTAAGTACAATAAGTAAAAGAAATTTCACCAAGCATTTTAATGTAATATTTCACTTCAAAATGACTCTTTTTTGTAGATCATGAATATGCAACTGAGCTATTTAGTAACTTGCTTAAAACCTTATAGCTAGTGAATGGCAGTGCTAGTATTTAAAAACCCTGTGACTCCATAGCCCATCCTCCTACCTGTATGCTGTACTGACTGCAATGTGTGTGGCCTGCTAATTAGTTTTCAGAGATCAATATCTACCAAGGTTCTTCTTCCTTTATTAAAAAGATATTAAAAGCTATTAAACAATAAAAAATATGCTTCCACTTTTCAAAGTATAATGAAGCAGAAACAAATGAGGCAGAAATAAAATATAAGATTCACTTCCTTTTATGAAGAATCTTTCAGTCTTGAGGAGAAATAAGCCACAGATGCAATCACTTAACTGAACAAAATGCCCATTCACTCCCCTTCTCCCTCCTTCTCAGGTAGGTTAGGAGGCAAGGGAGTGCGAGAGCGCGGCCTCCCTGCCCTAGGAGTCAGAGCAGCGTATAGATAGCCATAGTCTTCCTGCAGTTGCTGGTATTTCTACTTCAGGAACTCTTCAGAGATCCCTCCTTCCCTCCTTCCTTCCTCCCTCCCCTCCTCTCTCTCACCCTCCCTTCTTCCCTCCCTCCCTTCCTTCCTCTCCCACCCTCCCTCCCTTCTGTCCTTTTCTCATGAGAATGTGAGGCACAGGCAACAACCACTAAGCCTCAGTGTCATAGGACAGTAAGCATTTATTGCTCACATCTGAGGGCTAGCTGGGCACTTCTCCTGATCTTTTCTGGGCTCATCTCATGCTGGCTGATTTTGATTGGTCCCACAGAGATGATGGGGAAGCTCAGCTCTGCTCCAATTGTCTCTCATTCTCCATCAGGCAAACCTGGGTATTTTCCATAGTGATGACAGAATGCGAAGAGAGAGAAACCAAATTGTGAAAACGCATTTCTAGCTAATGCTGTGTCGAGTCTGCTAATATCCTATTGGACAAATCAAATCACATGGCTAAGCTGGGAGCAGGAAATTATACCTCCCCCTCTCTCCCCTTTACCCACTGTAGCAGGGAAATTACTGGCAAATTACATGCCAAAAAACAGGGACATAGAGAGTATTGAAAAATTTGGGCCACGTTTGCAATCCACTATAGTCTGGGGAACTTCCTTAAAACCTCATGTGTTACTTCCTTTAAGCAAAAAATATACTAGGGATTGTTTATTTTCGTGAGACAATACTGAACTCTGTAGTCTACAAATACTTAACTAAAATTCTGTGGTCCTGGATCCTAAGATTGGCTGGTGCACGTATATCTATGTTTTAAATCAAAATGAGCCTTTTAAGGTGTGTTTTTATCTTTTTACTCGACCACGTCTTAACTGAACTTATTAGATTAATTATCCAACAATACATTCAATTGAATCACTTGCAAGACTTCCATTGAATTTCAATCCTGCTCATACACCCTGTGTCTCAAACTGGTGCCCTCATCTCTTTCCTCCTCTTCTCATGTTGCTGACTCCCTTGCAATTTGTTTAATCCACTGTTAGTAGGGCTTTGTGGCCATTGCTCAAAATCCTTATGAATTCACATTTCCTTTTATCCTTACTTCCTAGTCAGCTGGGATGTGACTAAAGATAACCAAATGTGAATCCAAACCAAACTCTTCTCTCATCAAGGGTCCACTGTACCCACTCTTCTACTTCTGGGAGTGGGAGGCAGTGAGGAGCCCACGAGCCTGGGAGCCAAATAGCAGGTTTTCTCCTCTGGGTTATGTTATGGTTTGCTTAACACTGACAAACATAATACAAGCATTTTCTGTTTAATGGACCCTACATATGTGCTGTGGAAATAGAGAAATTAGAATATAATGCAACTTCTAGAAATTTGAATATAATCTAATGAGAAAACAAACTTCTAAATATACGAATGATATAGTGCTTTGGGACTACAAGGAAGAGGAAATACTCAATTCCACCTCACGTGGGCTGAAAAATCTTGTGAAGGACACGACATCTGTGATGAGACTTGAAAGAGAATGTAGCCAGTGAGCAAAGCAGGGAGTAACGTTTCAGGGGGAACAAGTCTGTTCAAAAATTGCACGTTGTTCAGCATGCTTCAACAGTGGATGGGGAAAGGAGCTGTGAATTATGTAGTTATAAAACTGTTTAGTTCACCCTTAACTTTCTACTGTAATAATTTGTTCTCAAAATAGGTGAGAGAGTTTGGCTTCCTAGCAGCCTTCCTCCAGTAGAAAAAACCCATGAATTTAGAAAACCAGACAAGAAAATTAGACATCTATATCTCTAGGATGCTCAAGGTTTTAGGGACCTCCTGACTTCAGGAAGTCAATAGTTTTACAAAAGATGTCTGAGTCTAGCAAAAATTTTGTCTTGGAACCTTTGATTTTTATCTGCACATTTCTAAAGAGTATTACATAGTCATGGTCTAACATCTGGTTATTATATGATGTTCAAGTATAAGGTGTCTGGTTAGAAGAGATAAAAACTCAAAATAAAATACAAACAATTGATGAGATGGTTCTTTACAAATTTAAAATTTTAATTACCTAGATTCATATTCTCAAAGGTGGGAGCTCAAGCCATCACCTTCTAAAACAAAGAACCACATTCTCAGTTTGTTGGCAGACGATGATCTTTTCTAGAGAACAATGAGGCTGAAATTCTGAGTGGACTAATTATAATTGTACATGTTGCCACTTGTCTTTTAGGTTAGAATATTACTTTAAACCAGAAGCAGATTTTGGAAGAAGTTGGTTTGTGGCTTTGAACTATTTAGCTGCACCTCGCTTTCCTACAACCTTGATTACAGTATGTAAATTCCAGAAGGGTCTGCCACCACGAATGCTTGTTAATGGGGATAGAGCCCCCTTCGTTACCGACTTTACTAACTTACAGAACGCAGTCCTGTTTGGTCTACATCTTGTTCACAAAATGGATGACTCTACAGGTAAGGGCCTTATAAACAATATCTTAAAGAAAATCAGTATTACATTGAATAGATAAGGAAAAAATAATGATATCAGAGATGTATACCGTTACAACACATACTCTCACAGAAAGTCATGGTTTCCTATGGGCGTCCACCCTACTCATTTTGCTCCTTCCACTCGTGGCTCGTCCTTTCTTATGGGTCCTTATTGACCTATGAACCCACCAGACTACCTCAAGTGCACTTTTCTCATCTGCAAACCCAGATATATTTTTTTGTTGTTGTTGTTATAGTAGTGTTTTTTTTTTTTCACCTCAATATCACTCATAAACTTAGAAAAAATACAGGAATCTCAAAAGAAAACTTGCGATGATGAATGGGAAATCTAGAAAATTAACTTATGTAAGCTCCCTCCATCCAGCCTCACTAGTTATGGAAGAAGTATTCTGCTCCAGCACTTCAACTGTAAGGTTTCCTAGCGGAGTGAAAAACAGAAAGAATCTACAGTTGCAAATTCGAATGACCACATCATCCTAGTTTTCCAGATATGCTCTTATGCAGTGAACCAAGCTTAAAATATAATTAAAATTTTTTTTTTGAGGAAGATTGGCCCTGAGCTAACATCTATTGCCAATCTTCCTCTTTTTCTTTTTTCTCCCCAAAGCCCCAGTACATAGTTGCATACCTTAGTTGTAGGTTCTTCTAGTTCTTCTATGTGGGACATCACCTCAGCATGGCTTGATGAGCAGTGAGTAGGTCCGTGCCCGGGATCCGAACTGGTGAACCCCAGGCCGCCGATGTGGAACACATGAACTTAACCGCTATGCCATTGGGCCAGCCCCAAAATATTTGTATTTTTACAATCCAAAAAATGAATCCAAAAGATATAAAAGTAAACATAAATACATTAAATATATGGTTTTGAAACCTCATTTGCATTAGTTAGAATAACAGATAAACCCAAACATTTTAGAGGCTTCATGCAGTTGAAGTTTCTTCTTGCTCCAGTAATGGTTCTGGTGCAGAGTTCTCAGTCAGTGGGAGTTTTCCTTCACACAATGAGTAGCAGACTGAAGATCCTTCCATCTGTGGTTCTTCCAGACCCTGGCCCCTGTATTATCTACATCTCACCAGCAGAAAGATACTATAGCATCTGGAAAAGGCCTGGACATTTCCCTCACTTCATCTCATACTCTATTGGTATGAAACAGTCACATTGTTTCATATCTGGATGCAAGGGGGCTAGGAAATTTAACTGTTGCCTGAGAACCACTTTTGTGTGACAAATTTACACTATGAAAGGAGAAGCATGAATTTTGGTAGTCACCTAGCCGTCTCTGCCAAATTATGACATAGTATAATTGCATTCTAGGCCTGGATTTATAAACTGGCTCTTTCCTGTTAGGATGAAAAGTCGAGGCACTGAGTGGAGAGTTAGGAGTTATTTCTTTGAAAGCCTGCAAGTGCCATACTACAATATTTTATTACAAGATCTGATTTTACTGGAATTTAGCTTTGGATTTAATATGTGATTTTGGGTTGCTTTCACAAGAAAAAAATGGGAGATTGAACCTTGATAAAAAAAGAAGTGAGCCTTGATAGCATAATTGCTTAGTTATCATAAAAGGAGGCATTTACTATCATCTAGTCATTAATCTTATGGCCAACCACTCACCACGCTCCTATTGACACTCAGAATTCAGTCACAGTGCCAAAGCCCTTGGAATTTTAAAATAAGCAGAGAATAGGGAAAACAGATGTATTAAAAACAAAGCATTAGTAAAAAACAAATATTGATATCCAAAAATGAGCATTTTTAGTTAATCTTCAATAGAAATATATACACACATTTACAAAATCCTTTTTTTTTTTTTTTTTTTTTTGTGAGAAAGATCAGCCCTGAGCTAACATCCATGCCAATCCTCCTCTTTTTGCTGAGGAAGACCCGCTCTGAGCTAACATCTATTGCCAATCCTCCTC